TAAGATTCGAGATCAAGCCAGTTTAGCACCATGCACTCGTTTGTGAGTTTTTTTCTCAGGCACGGTCCACGGGAGAGAAGGGCCGCGTCTCGCTTCAAACGTGTCGAGCAAATTTCTACTGTAACGGTGATCCTTTAACGTTCCTCCGAGCCCCGAGCGCCGGGCGAACTCTAAAGAGCAAGATTGTGTACGAAAAATGTACCCCTCATCTTTTGCCGGCCGTATCATGTTCTCAAATCGGACACAGCCCTACGCAATTGCGCCTTGTGTGGTTACACGCAACAGCCTCCTTCATGCCCGTATGAGTGCATCTCATGGCTAATTCGCTGCGGTTCAAGGATAACGCCAAGGTTGTCACAATCTTGGCTGCATGCTGCGAGAATGAGTCGAACTTGGGAGTCGATTTCCGGCCTTACTCGCTTCTGATTGGCTGAGGCCAGCTTGCACTCATCCTCACTCACATATTATAAATTCCCCATCATTCCTCACCTTTTGCCTTCCTCATTGCAATCACAGAGTACAGTCTTGACGGCAACCGACCACCCCCCCACCCCAACCTCACCAAAGCGCGTGTTCTCATCCTGCGAGAACGAGCTCTCTCGCAGAGACCCAACCCATCTTTAGTCACCAACAACTAGTTGGATTATCAAGGTACCGGTAATCATCAAGATACTGTACCACCATCGCAATGGGTCAGGGCTTCTCCTCCCTTTTGGAATTTCTGTGTCAAGATCTCAAGCTAAATTGTGTACAGCTTTCATCAACGCCAACATACCCACCGTCGTGCTCCCAGCCTTCGTACCCCCCAATAGAAGCAGCGGAGTGGGCACTACCGTACATTGCGACTGACGAGTGGCTCGGAGTCTCGTTTGATCCTTCGACCTACTCGGTCCCTAATACGGCCCCAGACGGATTAATCACCACCTCGACTGCTTCTGCATTTGACGACAATATCTTCTCGAACCTGCCCTTGGATCTCAACAACTTTGATCTGGAGGGATTCGACAATCTGTTTGGCGAAAAGTCCCCCGCTACTACTATTGGAGGAGCGGCGTCTGCGGAGTCCATGACTCTGGAGAAGCCGTCTCCTATCTCGGCTACACCTCTGGAAACGACCCCTGTTTTGTCCTATTCGAATTCTTCGTCCCCTCTTACGCTTTCGCCCAACGACCTGCTTTTACCCACTACTCCGACCGACTCTACTACCAACTACCAGTCTGAAGCTCTACAAAGACAACTATCAAACACAAACTCGACTGCTTCCTTCGACTCTTTGCCTCCTTCCTACGACATTCCGCCAATTCGCATCAACTTTTCCCGTCCTGAATCCATGATGGGTCCCTCGTACAAGTCCTCGTCTGTTTCCGCCTCTTCGGCCTCTCCCGAACCCTCCTCGGCCATGTCAAGAACCTCTTCCAAGTTTTCCAACAAGTCCACCTCCAAGGCTCGCTTCAAGGATATCCCAGATCCACTTGCTCCAAACACTCCACCAACGGTTGTGAAAAGGGCAAGAAACACCTTAGCAGCACGTCGCTATCGTGCCAAGAAGGTCGAGAAGATGGAACAATTGGAAGAGCAACTTGCCGAGATGGAGAGAGACAGAGACCGCTGGAAGGCTGCATTCCACAAGGCCGAGTGCGAGGCCGAGAAGTGGAAGGGAATGTGGCTTGGAGCAACCGGCAACATGGGTGGAAATGGCAATCACCTCGGATGACTGCATGGTCCTGGTCCCGCTTTCTAGTTTGATTAGTTTGATTTCATTCCTCTTGTCTTTCCTTGTATCTGCTTCTCGTTGATCATGATCACGGTCTTTTATTGTCTTTTGCGGGCGTTTTCTCTTTCTTTCTTTGGTTGGATTTTTTTGTTTGCCAGTTAAGGAAATGGGGTTTCCACGGTGTTATTGGATTATAAAATAGCAAGGATATAAGAAGTAGCTTTGAATGTGAGAGGTTTAAAGTGCTTGCGTGTGCCTCTGTTGTATATCGTGATGCTCGTTGTGCTGAATTGTCGAGGTGCGCTCTGCGCTCGATCGAAAGGTAACCACTCGCATATCTCGGGGCAAAGCCTCTGAAATACCTTTATTAGACCTGATGTGCCTTGCCACGGCAGTGTTGTTTGGAAAAGCATGCGAAAGTCGGGGCGATACAGAGTACGCAAAGCGATTTGAATCAGAGCGTTGCAGTCGCGAACCAACTCAGCGAGAATCAACAAAAGATGGATGCATAAACAGTTCCTATTACCAGCATCTAAGAAAGTAAAGAAAAAGGTACGAAATTTTATCGATGAAAACACACCGAGTATGAACGCCAGATCCCACCCCACCCCTTCACCGGAGTCTAAACAATCAAAGAAAACCTGATATCTAAACCTTCTCCAATCTGACCGCCGCATTATTTTCCACCATATTGAGATCGACCTTGTGGCCGAGCAGCTCTCGGATATTCTTGATGGCGTATCTGATCATAGTTGGTCTCTCCAAACTCAAACCCCATCCGTGAACTCTCAAGTCCTTTGGCAAGCCCATGGCCTCCAACATCTCAGGTCTGAACATACCCGAGTTACCAATCTCGACCCACTTTCCAAGACCCTCATGGTAGCCGAAGATTTCCATCGAGGGCTCGGTGTATGGGTTGTATGCAGGCTTGAATCTCAAATCCTCCATTCCCATCTTAGTGAAGAAAGTCTTCATGAAACCGATCAGGTCTCCCAATGTCAAATCGTAGTCGGCAATGACACCCTCGACTTGATGGAACTCAGCCAAATGTGTAGCATCGACGGTTTCGTTACGGAAGACTCTGTCGATCGAGAACATTTTTGCGGGACCGGGGTTCTTTGCGAGTTTGTGAAGCATGGCGGCGGAAACGGCGGTAGTGTGGGTACGGAGCACAAGGCGGAGCGATTCATCCTCGTTCCATGGGTAGCGGTATCCGATAGAGCCGTATTTGCCCTGCTCGTGAACCTCACGCACATTGTTCCAGTACTCCTCGAGGAAGTTGCCGTCCTCGTCCCGGGGCTTGTCAGCCTTTGGTGGATCGGCAATGTAGAAGGTGTCTTGGAGATCACGAGCAGGATGTTGCTGTGGGACGAAGAGGGTATCGAAGTTCCAGAAGCCGGACTCGACGAAGCGGTTGGTTGGCATCTCGGTGAAGCCCATCTCGAAGAAGATACGTCTGAATTCTGATCGCACCTTATTCACTGCACAAATTAGCACCTCAACCTCACAGAGGTCGTAGTAGAGGACAACTTACATGGATGAAGAGCACCGCTGGTAGCTGGAGCACCAAGGGCATTGAAGTTGTATGGTTTGAAAGTTTTCGACTCCCAGGCACCACTGGCCAAAAGCTCCGCAGTCAAATCCGTCTCCTCCCTGATAATCTCAGTCGCGAACTTCTCACCCTTTGATATATCCTTGAAGCTGATTCTCTTCTCCATCTTGACCAGCTTTCTCTTCTTCAGGTCGGTGACCGTCTTTGCCTCAACAGTCTCACCTCTTCCGATTTTCGACAAGACCTCTCTTGCGCTATCCGTTATCGAGTCCACCATCTTGACGAGCTTTGCCCCCTCCTTTCTGATCCAGCCCTCCTTGAAGGCCTTTCCTTGTCCAACCTTCGCGCTCTCTTTTCCTACAACACCCTCCAAATCACCAATGGCCAATCCTTCCATTCCTCTCGATAACACAGCCTCGTAAACGCGAGCTTCGTGTGATCCCTTCTCGACAATCGATTCGGCTTCGGGCGTAAGTACTGGGACTTCGGCGTCGACGGTGGTGTAGGTGACCATATCCCTTGACTTCAGCGAGTCGAGGGCTGCCTTAAGCGATAGTGTTGGGACATCTGGAAAGTCTGACGAGGAAAGAGGGCCGGAGGATGCATTGATCTTGTGGAGAATCTGGGTTGGTAGATCGGTCGCCATTTTTGTGGTTGATGTGTGTTGTTGTTGGGAGATGGGGGAGTTTTGAGATGGCGGTATTTGATGACTTGGAGAGGGTATCTTCTTCCCGTTTGGGGAGCGGGGCAGATTTTGGTGGGGTGGGTGATGAGTATGACTAACCTCTTAAACGTGTTTATGTGTAACCCAAGACTCTAACCGTGTCTGGTACCAATTCGTGCTCATAAAAACCTTCTACGAATTCTAAAGTGGCTTGCGAGGAGATCTCTGAAAGTCGATTTATGTTTTATTGCGTGCGTTTGGCTTAAATTGGCCTTATGAGTCTGTTTTGATGATTGACGAGCGCGACAATCTGTGTCAATGGGGTGCGTTTACTCACTTGCCGGTCGGTCTCTGACTCCTGCCAATTATGACACCAAAATTTAAAATGCAGTAAGAGACGTCGAGACGTCGATGCATTTCCGCCCAAATCTCCGATAGAAGCATTTAGCAATTGGCGAAGGCTTGGGAGAAAGCAAGTCTTTGTTCGCGAGATCGGAAAGAAATCGACTGCAGAACGCTCAGAAGAATCACACGGGTTGGAGTTAATCACCACCCATGCATGCATATTCCAAAACCCACTTTCCAATTGATACTTCTCACTATCATGTATTCAATGAGAGTGCCCTATCTACGACTTCTGAAAAGAGGAGAACAATGGAGGCAAGTAACGACCGTAGAAGCAAACAAACTAACACAAAACCCAGAACTTAAGAAACAACAATACCAGCTCTCACACCTCGAACCCAACCTTCAAGCCCCGTCCGTTCCTCTCCCTCGCCATTATCCATCTCTTGCAACTCAACTCCCTCTTCTCTCCGCTCTACGGCCTCTCTCAACACGATCCTCCTTCCTCGTCCTCCAAGGAAACCAAAATACAAATGAACAAACCGTAACGCCTCGCCTAAAACAAACGCCAGCACCAAAAGACCATAAGCCAAAAACAGCTTGAATTCAATTGCATCGATCAATCTTCCGAGACGATTTCGCAGGTCCAGCAGTACCATCAAGAAAGCACCGAGACGAGCCCACAATGGGGTGAGGTAGGAAATGATGGATGGGTCGAGAAAGGAAAGGAATAACGGGACAGACCAACTGGGGTAAATGGAATCGGGCATGCGGGGGTATTAACGATGTGTAGTGCGAATTGCAAAGGGAAAATGAGACTATTGGGTAAGGATGTGGGAAATAAAGACTATGCAATCAGGACGAAATGGTGTTCTTTCCGCTTCTCTTTGACCTCTTTGCAGTTCTCGGCTTCTTTACAATCTTGTTCTGCGTATCCAACTGGGGACTCATCAGCTCATGTCGCCTTGCCTCCATCGATTCGGATCTTACCTTCTTTCCGACACGGACGACACTCTTGACAACCTTTCTCACGGTACTGGTGTTTACCGCAACAGGAATATCCGTCTGGGCGATCTTCTTTGCAGCTCTGACTGGCGCTGGCTTGATGGGCTCGGCAAAGGTGACGGTGAGATGTCTGCGTCTTGCGGTGGTGGAACTGGTTTGGATCGTTCTGCTTGCGTTTGCAGTCGAGACTGTGTTGGTACCGAGGGCTCTTGTGCGGGTGGTTGGAGGTGGAGGACTCGGATAGTAGGTAGAGCGGGTTTGCATAATGTGGATTGGGGCTTGTTGGGGATATGGGCTTGGTGACGTTAACGATCGAATGGTGGGAATAATGGAAATAACTGTAAGGGAATGGAGAGGGGAGTATGGGACGGAAGGAGATGGGGCCCTTTTTATACTCACAAGACGATCTGTCAGGATAGTAGTTGACATGCTGTGGTGTGCTTGCGAATGCATATTCCAACTGAGCCTGCTCGGTGCTATCATGGTGGTCGTCGGCCCTGGTGGGTGACGTCCAGTCAGGGCCGTGTATCAGGGCGTGGAAGCGTGTGGTTCATTAGTTACTTCTGGCCGTGGTGATCGCCCTGGTGTTTAGTCCAAAGTTTCCCCGAAATGGCATTGCTATCTTCTTCTACGCCCATAGCACGCAAGATCCATGCGAATCTCTGCCGAGTGTGACTCAATACCGTGACGTTCCTCAGGGGGGTCAAATAAACGCCCTGTTCCTCCCTCAGGACGAGACAAAAATAAGGCTGTCTTTCCTCTTGGGTACCTTATCCATGCGTCAAATAGGCCAGAGTCGCACGTCAGGTACCACGTCCGCATGCGACCCACGAATGACATGCATTAGAAAAGGCCAGAAAATTGTTTCGCTCGGCCACTTTCTGCCTTCCCCGGCCTTTTGCGGGAGGAGGTGTGGGTCGTAAATCAAAGCACCTGCGATTTTGCCTCATGTGGAAGGGACGGCAAAGAGGCGTGATGGTGTTCAGGTGAGTTTATTTCCCGATCGGGAAAGGTGTGAGTGAAAGTGGGCGCTTCGTGTGACTGGATAACATGGGGTTGAGTCACATGGTGGCTCAAGGAAGTGTATCGTACGTACCATGTAATATCGGAGGATGCGCTGGAGGAACATCGTAGTGGTCGTCAAAATGTTGGCAGTGTCGCCTTCAGGGATTATTTGGAGTTTACATATCTGAAGGAATTGGCGAACGTCGAAGGCGGACACCGCCAAGCTGAGCTTGCGAACATTTTTAACCACTTCAGGAAAACGTCTAGGCCGCAACAACTGATTGCCGACTCCTCCTGTGAATCCCTAAGCATCTTTGTTTCATGGACTGCGAACTATAGCCACAACTTGGAGGAACGAGAATGCTAAAACGAGGTCGCGAATTAATGAGCCCAGGCACAATCAGTATAGCACGCTCCATTGACAACCGTCAGTTAAGTACAATTCGTCAAAGCCTTCAGCATTTTATTATTAAACATGAACAAGAAACGCATAATAAAAGTGGGTAACAAAATCAACAAACTACCGAGCAAGAAATAAAAAATAGACAAGAAGAAAAGGCGCCAAACTGGTGGGGCATAGCATAACGATAAGGAATGATATGAAGAAGCAAGAAAGTAAGTTATAAGAAAAGCTCGATGCAATCGATCCATGCCAGCAAGTACTCGAACATGACGCAAAATGAAGAGCAAACCTCCATTCACCGTATCGGTCCAGGGAAGCGCTCAACTATTCCTCTTCTCACCACCATTACATTACAGGCGTGTCCTGACCAAACTATGCCAACCGCCTTACCCAACTACCGCTGTCTGAAGCTTAGATGTGCAAATGCATCGGGGCTGTGACGTCCGTTACCCGAGCCACCCCAGCTTCCAAAGTCTACACTCTCCTGGCTCTTCTGATGTCCCATCCCCTGCATTCCCATACCGTTTACTCCCGGAGCACCAGCAAGGAATGGGTTGTTGCTGTGGCTCGGTTGCGCCTGAACTCCTGCCGTATTCATCCCATTCATCCCATTCATCCCGTTCATGCCTATTGCTGCTAGGTTCTGCTGGCTGCTGTGTTGGCTGGGAGGTGGAGTTGGACCCAGGTGCGATTGGTTGTAGAGAGCAAGGATGGAAGATTTGTCGATCCGAGAACCGGTCGAGGAAGCAGTTTGTTGTGGGGTGAGTTGGGCATAAGACATATTGGGCTGAGCGGAGAAGAATTGACCTTGCTGTACTTGATGCTGATGCTGTTGCTGCTGTTGTTGTTGTTGCTGCTGCTGCTGTAAGTGTTGGTAGGGGTTTGGAGCCTGGGACGGTGTTCCGGCCAATGAAGCTTGTTGGAGAAGTGGGTGAAGGGTACCAGGCGGCGGCTGTTGCTGCTGCTGGTGGTTGTTGAATGGATTGTGAGTGACTTGTTGCTGCCCGTTATTGAGATATGGATTGTATGAGGATTGGCCGCCGAACTGATTCTGTTGGAGCTGTTGCTGCTGCTGTTGCTGCTGCATCTGTTGAGCCTGTTGCTGCATCTGCTGAGCCTGCTGTTGCTGGAGGTATGCCTGTTGTTGCTGTTGCTGGGCCATTTGTTGCGCCTGCTGCAATTGCTGTTGATTTTGTTGCTGTAGCTGTTGAGCCTGTGCAACCAACGCCTGGGCCTGTTGCTGATATGGATTGAACGACTGCTGGGCCTGTGGTTGAGGTTGACTTGCAGAGAACAGATCACCTCCTGTCCGGTTTGGAAATAACGGCTGTGTTGGAGCAGCGAGCCCGAGAGGCTGCTGCATTTGCTGACCGACACCATTCTGTTGACCGAAGGGATTGTATGCCTGTTGCTGCTGCTGAGGCTGTTGTTGCTGTTGCGCTGGGGCATCAAATGGATTGTTTGTCGATGTGGTATCGAAAGGGTTTGTCGAATTGCCAGTCGGTCCAGGAGTTGGCGGTACCGAGTTTGTTCTGATAAGAATTTCCACAGTAGCCACCAAGTCACCTCCAGCACCCTTCAGCACCTCCAGATTCCTCGCCTCGTTGGTGAATCCCATGTCCCTCAACTGTCTCAACTTACTCTCCATGTCTGCAGTGTTGGAGGCTGCGGAGCCCGGGGTTGAAACGAATGATAAACCGGTCTGTGGTCCACGGGAAACTACGGCACTATGAGACACGTCAACTCCGAGCACTCGTTGGACTTTGGTGGAAGGCAATTGGGACCTTTCCGGTTGCGTCTGCGAAAACGAAGCAGATCTTGTAGGCACAGATGGCCTGTTGTGCTCAGTGTAGCGAGACGACAACTGGGATGTAAACTTTGGATTCGGGTTCCTTGTAAGTCCCAGCCCAAGAGGCTCGTTGCTGCTAGATGCGGTAGGAGGTGCGGGGAGAACTTTTCCGGTTCTCTCATCACGACGGAAGGTCTGGTATTCGTACTTGTTGCGTATGTAGCGTTCCATCTGAGCGTCCATCGAGTCTGTGCCCGCCGGAGGTGGGTGCCGTGCCAAATTCGGATTCCAGATGCCGTTTGCCTTGATGTTTCCCATATTTCGCATGCTCTGTGCAGATTGGTAAAGTCAGTCGCTGAATTCGGAACCACCTCTGGACGCTCGAAAAGGCTCGTGGGAGTGGTGTGTACGCACTTCGATTTGATCGTTCGACCAGGAATCCATCGTGACGCTCTTGACTTTGGAGACATGAGTTCCTAACTTCCGGTGGAATGAAGCACAGTTTATGCACAGAAAAATCCCAAGCTATTCGCGCCTTATAGTTAGCATCGTGATCCGCTGTAGAGATTTGTTTGTCGGTAGAGTGGTGTATCGTACGTTCCAACTGGCCCATGCTGCATCTTGACATTAGTATCCACGTTCCCTTCTCTCTTGCGTCCTTCCAGAAGTTCCGTACCTGGGTTCTTCGTCCCACAGTCTGCACATCTATCATTTCCAGGTACATTTGCAATCAAGTCCTGGAGAATCCGTTCATTGCGCGCCTGCTGACGCTTGTTTAGAGCAGTCGTCATCTTGAGCCGAGCAGAGGAAGTTCGTGTCGAGGGTTGAAGGGTGTCAGATAGAGCGAAGTGGAGGGATTGGGCCTTTTAGGCGCTCGCAAAAGGCCGCACAACAGATTCGAAAGACGCGGTACCGGATCGATATTCGGGGTGGACGAATGGAATAACGCGGTGAAGATTTGGTTGGTGGTGGTGAGGATGCGCTGGCGAAAGTGGATGAGAAGGACAAAAGGCGACTTCTTCTGGATGAGCTCAAGAAGATGAGGTCCCGTTCACCAACGAACCGAGCGTTCCCCCTAAAGGCACCAAAGGTTCCACTTGAAAAATGCCGTTATCTTGGTAATTATTTCAGCCGACCGAGCAAACGAACGGGAAGGTTGGGATGTAAGTAACAGTCGTATTCGCTATTGCTTGTAGCGGTGGGAAAGAACAGCGTTGTAGGACAGAACGCACGCTCGAACAAGGGAACAAGATGAATTGGGATAACGGAAACAGCTCGTCCAACTTGCTGCAAGTCGCGGAACTTCCAGAAGCTTGAGAAGACAAGCCAAGCATCGTGTCTCAATGCGGCTAGTATAGCGGCTCTTGGAAGCATTGGCATGAACAATTCTCTATAAAGGCCGTCGCAAACTTTTCTCCTCTACACTCTCTTTCTCAACAGCCTCGACATGCCGGCAAAACAACACCATCACGATTAATCTACATACCGAATACAGTCCGTTTTTTCGCAATACTCTTCTCGTCTGAATACCGTTCGATCTTCCGTCACTCTGTCCTCCTTCCCCCTACACACACGACACCCACAATTACAAAGCCTACCTCCTGGTGCCTGGATCCTGAACTGCTCGCGGCTTCCGCTTCAGATCTTGATCCATATGGTCCTGAGGCAACTATTAGTAACAGTGGGAGAGAAAGCTTGACTCGCAGATTCCACCCTGACCTTTTAATCCTTCGGGATCTAATGAGAGATTCGGGACTTAATCACTTGCGGACATCTTGTCCATGCCAACCTTAGTTTATTTCAATAGTTTGATAGTAATAAAAGACATCTACTACCTCAGAATACTTTGAATGATTGTTTGTGTGATATCGTGCTTGCTTGATTGATTGAATTGAAAGTCAAAAGTCATGTCAAAAGTCATTAAAACTGCAACAATAAAACAGACCCTAAACGCCTAATTACCCTCCCTCAGGACATCATTCCAGCCCTCAAACTCATCAGCAAACATCCTGTCCACCGACTCAGTGGCTGTGGTTTCGCTCTGCGAATCCTCTGGTTCCACCGGAGCAACAACCACAACCTTATCCTGCACATCCTCTACGCTCACAACTGGTTCAGTAACTGTAGGCTCACCTTGCAGACGTTCTCCAATCACCAACTCA